ACGGATATGCATATATGATGTGATTAGGTGTTTCATCTTTGTATTAATAATATATTTTATATATTTATTCTACACAATTGCAAAATAAATTTATAATTTTAATTGTATTATTTTTACTCATCTTGCAACACTTTGCAGTATCACTATGAATAAACCAGTAGAAAAACATTATTCAAAATATTTAAACACTATAGCGGTGAAACATGCATCATCAAAATGAATGATACGATATGTGGGTTGTTTATGTTGTAGGATTCTATGCTCTTGTGTTTACACTATGTAATGTCGATAGCGGATATGTTGATCGATGTCACGACCGAGTACCAAATTTTGTCTTTTATAAATGAGTATTTTGGCTACAACTATTTTTATATTGCTGAAGAGGATACCTACAAAACAGTTTTCCGATGTCTGGAAGCTATTGTCATTTTTGGACTAAAAAATGATGGGGCTAGTTATCAGCAGGTGATGAATGTCATCTTCCATCATTTGATTGTAAATTGTATGATGATGTGCTGGTCAAATCCAGATCTTTCAAGAATCACTTAGCGGATTTGCGAAAAGCCTTGCTACGGATGAGACATCACGAGTTGAAAATGAATTCAGCCAAGTGTGCTTTCGGAGTGTAAAAAGATAACTTCTTTGGTTTTCTCATACATCAAAAGGGGATTGCAGTGGGCCTCAACAAAGCCAAAGCTATCAAGATGCTAACTCTGCCCAACAACATCACTAAATTGTAGAGTCTCATAGTAAAAATCAATTTCTTCGGGAGGTTTAGTGCCAATTCCGCCAGAAAAATAAAGGTATTCTTCGTGGTAGTGTGAGGAAATAAGGAAGAATTTGAATGGGGAGACTTGTAGCTGAAAGCTTTGGACCAAATTAAGGAGGTTCTGACATCTCTACACGTCTTGATGCTATCAATACCCGGAAAGGACCTGAAGCTATTTATCGCAACCACTGACAACATCATTGGATGCTTGCTAGCTCAAGATGACACATGGGGTTACGAATGAGCAGTTTACTTTTGGAGCAAGATCCTGGATGGGGCAGAATCTCGATATTCCCCTATGGAAATGCATATATTTGTACCACGCATGTACTAAGCTAGAGTATTACCTGACACTAGAGGAGTCTAGGGTACTTTGAAAAGTGGATCTTCTACGACATCTGTTGAGCAAGCTTGTCCTCCGAGGCTACATGGTGAAGTAGCCATGAAATTGGTTTCCTTTGCCTTGACGATGAGCCTTTACATGCTATCAAGGGGCGAACAATAATGGATTTTTCTAGCAGAATATCCTAGAATAGTTCAGTCATAGGAGGTTTCAACATCGTGCATTGGGTTGAAGCCTTGGCAGATTTTATTTGATGGATCTAACACAAGAGAACCTTTTGGTGCTGAAGTATTCATCATCAATCCCAAAGGACATAGTTGGCGGTTTTTTCATAGTTTCCATTAGGATGTACCAACAATCAGGTGAAGCACGAAGTGCTACTGATGACATTGAGGCTCATGGTCTCAAAGAAAACAAAGAATATTCACTTCAGAGAAGATTCTCAGTTGATGATCTGCCAAACATTGGGAAAATTCCACTATAAGGAGCCAAACTTACAGGATCATAGGGAACAAGAAGCTCGATAAGGAAACCCTGGAGGACATTCATAGGGAATAAAATTATGATGTAAACAATCTAGAACAAGAAGTTTCCGGGTACCAATGAAAACGGCTAGTGTGTGCAGTGGTTTTGGATCCTACAGACTGGCAGAAAGAATATTTTAAATATCTAGTTGATCCAAGCGCAGTGACCTCAAGACAGTTAAAGGAACATATACTCAAATACACCATGTTGGATGGAGAATTGTTCCTCCGGAGGCCAGATGGATCTTTTGCCTAATGCTTGGAACCCATATAGGCAATGAAGGTGACGGCAGAAGTGCACAAATGCATCAGAGGAGTTTATCAAAATGGAGCAACATGAGATGGAAAATTTTCCACTATGATTACTTTTGGATAACGATTTCCATAGACTATTGAATCCATGGCTGTGAAGCATGTCAACGTCATGGTTTCATTCAACGGAATCTAGTAGAATAGTTACATTCCATTGTAAAGCCAGATTTTTTTTCGAGCTTGGACTATGGATATCATTGAAAATCTATATATGTCATCATCAAAGGATCACTCCTTCATCTTGGTAGCCACTGACTATTTCACTAAGTCGGTGGAGGCAGTACCTCTCGTCTAAGTTCACAAGAATCATGTAATCATGTTCATTAAGAATAACTTTATCCATCCGTTTGGAATTCCAAAACAATTTTAACTAGTGTGAGAACCAAATCTTCACAACCCAACATAAAATCAAATTCAACCCCTACCATCCTTAAACCAATGAGCAGGCAAAAGCAATAAACAAAGAGTTGATTGCTATAGTGAGAAAATCATTAGTGAAAAATCCATAAGGATGGCATGGAACTTTGGAAGAAGTACTATGGGCTTACTGTAATACAAAATCATCCATAACCAAGAGTACCCCTTTCAAGTTAACTTACAGACATGATGAAGTTTTGCCCATGGAGATTATGAATCATCTTTGTGGATACTCAAGAAGAATCATCTTTCAATGGAAGAAAATGATGTTATATTATTTCAAGATTTGGACTCACTGCCTGAAGAATAACTTCAAGCTTTGGATAATATCCGCATAAGGAAGAGACAGATGAAAAGAGAATTCAACATTCATGTTCAATATACATTCTTTCAAGAAAATGACTTAGTGTTGAAGATTATTATGCCAGAATATGTAAAAGATATTGAACTTGGAAAATGGTCACCCAATTGGGAGGGGCCATACATAATTTTGGCTAAGCTACATAATGGTTCCTATAGGATTATGGAACCTGGAGGTAAAAAGTTTGATATTGCTATTAATGGAAAGTATTTACAGAAATTCTACTCATTTGTGTGAGAAGAAGTGGATTAACATAAGCAGATGCACAAAAAAGTAAATTTCATGTTCAAACGGGCCAAAAATAGTAGATAGTTCAAGGGTGAAATAATTCTACTATGGACTACGGATCTTTAGAGATGTTTTCAACTTCTGCTTTAAGAAGCTTCTCAAACACATCAACATATTTAGTGGGAGGTATGATTGGATCAGAAGTAGATGGAGTTGCTTGTATAACAGAACGAGCAACAGGAAGTAGCATAGGCTGCGCAACAATGATAGATCCCTTGACGGGGCAGACTGCAGATCGCTCAAAATGGAGGCAGTCACGTTGGTAAGCTCAGCAGCTTGATTGGAAGGTTCTACGCCGCAGGAGAAGCCTGCCATGTCAGCTGTTTGAAGAGACATCCGGATAGCTGCAATCCCATCCCAGGCATCGTGCAGCTTCTCCAAACCTCGAGTTGCCTTCTCCAAATTCTTTTTGGACATAACCCTTGTTGTTGCAGTTGTGCAAGAAGGAAGTCCAGCTTCTTTGCCCGAGCAAACAAATCCTCTGATGAGTGGTTCAGTCCATCAGGCTCTCATCCAACTGGAAAATGCAAGCTGGCAATTCCTTAAACATTTTTGCATTTTTTCCACTTCTGCCCGAAGATAGTTTTGTTCTGCTCACAAAGCCTTCACGTCTAATTCTTCTTCAGCAAACTTATGGCGTTCCATGGTGAAGGCAGACACATGCATGCCTTTCTTGAGCTCGAGCGAGGATAAAAAGTTCATTTTCTTTTGATTATTCTTCTACGGGGTGCAAAGGAGCTTGGATTTATCTGCCACACCCCCTACCTGATCCAACAGTCTTTCCAGAATGGAGAGACATTCTGTATCACTCGATTTGTTCTTTTGGATCATTCGGAGCAAGGATATTTGCATGAACTCGATGGTCTGCGGGTGGGAAAGCATTCCAACCATAAGAGTTTTCAGTGGACTCTCGGGGGTGATAGGATTTGCAGAGATTTTGTAATAGACATGTGCGGAGCTATTGGAGAAACTTTTTTTCATGCCCGCTAGTGGAATCGGAGCATAACAAACAACTTCGGGTCCTAGTTTAGGCTTTGAAACTGGTGAAAGGGGAGAAGCGTGGGGAGTTTCGAGGGTCAGTTTCTTTGGAGGTGTCTGTGGAAGCAGAAAGTGAGTGCTCCAAATAAATGCCTAGATGTGAGAAATAAAACAACACCATATCTGATGGGGAGGAGACACCACATCGGATCTTTTCGTGGGTTTTGGAGTGATGGGGAGTGTGGAGTGACCTCTGCTGTAATAAGGCGTTCAGAGAAGCGGTGGCAGAGCATGTCTCATCATATCCAAAAATATGATAAACTTAGATTTAATTTTTCATTCAATTATTTTTGGTGGGGGACATTATGTTGAGCTTAAAATATGAATTTTTGGGGAAACCCATTCTAGCAGGCAAGCTTGGTGGAGGCCCAGATGAGAAAAATGAAGCCCAAGTTGGTTGATCAGTGGAAGTCTGGCTAGACAGAATTTCGAGGTCCATCGAGTGGAAGAAAATATATAGCTGACTGAATTGTTAAAGAGAATTAGTGGTTGTGGACGGTTAATAAGGAAGTGGGGGTTTGAATTCAATAACTTGGGTGTTTTTTAATCGTTATTGGATATAAATAAAGATTAAAGATTAAAATTAAAAAGCTTGGAGTAGTGGGAAGCTTCATTTAAATAAGCTACTCAAGTACCTTTGAGATTTTCATGGTTAATAAAGCTAATTATTGGAAGAAGTATGAACTAAATACACATGATAATAGTTTACAAAACACATGTAATAATTTATCTCAGTTCAAGATGTGTGTTAACACAACATAAATATACCATATAAATTGATAACATATGATAATAATTCACACAGAACTTAATAATATAATTTAGCCATGAGTTGAGCTGTAGTAGTTCATGTTCCTAATCAGCACTCTAACGGCACCTATATGATACATACAATGGACGCAAACCAATTTTTATAAGTGTATGTTTTTAATGTATATTCATTTCTATTTAGAATAGATGAAGAAATATAAAATTTCAAATATGTCCATGAAATATACGTAGATCTTAAAGTATAGGAGATGATAATTGTTAAGAGGATAATCTCACATAGTGCGAAAAAAAATAATAAAAATGCGAGAGTGTAAACAAACAAAAACCTAGCTAACTATTTCACATCATTCAAAAAGGCCGAAGATGCATTATTAGGCCACGAATGGGAATGACAAATATGACCGAGAGGAGAAGAACCTGTATCCAACAATATATATATATATACATATATTCACTTTAATAATTTTCTCTATGAGATCAAATCGAATTATAGAATCAAATAAAGTTTTATTTTTCAACCTAACTTTATTGAACCAAGCTTGAGATGTATTGATTAAGTAAAGATGAGTGCTATTTTCTTGTTAGAAAATATTTTTTTGTTTGAATTTTGGACTTGAGATCAAACCTTGTTTATTATCATTCTAAAGAAATTATAATAAACAATGCTAACTTCTTATCTTACTCAGAGGTTTATCGAGTGTCAAGAGTGTATTTATGTAATTGTTTTGTGTTTAAATAGTTGTTAGAGGTGATGATTATAAAAATAATAATAATAATAATAATAATAAGAAGAAGAAGAATAATCAAAATATATTTTTATAGAGAATAACGAAAAATATGTGATAAAAGAACTAACAAAAAATCTCATAAAATAACAAAGCCTTTCAATCTACTTCAATACCATTTTAGTTTTTAGATTTTTGCCTAATTCACTATAATAATCAATAAACCAAGTTTAGAGTTGCTTGACTCGTATAGCTCTAAAACAACTTGTGTGAAAAGAATAAGGTATAAAATACACTAACCAGAGTCGAGATGGCTTGGAGGTTGTTCGGAATACTAGTGAAAGATTTTCTGGTAGAAACCAACCAAGTTTCAATTAATTAAGTTGTTTGAAGGAAAAGTGACCATGAAATATTAACGTTATGAATTGATCAACACACCTTTCTTTTATAGTTCCAAGGTTGCGGCATATTTTTATGATCGCGTCTAAACGCTCATGAGTTTCTCCAGCATTAGGATCATTGCTGTCAACCTACAGAGTTCCCGGCAATTGGGAAATGATCATCACCATATTCGAAGCAATAATAAGAATTGGGAGGTAGAATGATGATATAAATGTAGCGAATATAAATTCAAAACAATAGCTAATTTTTTTGTTTTGAGACTTTTTAAAGTTTTTTTACTATGTCATAATCAAGATTAGTAAGAAAAAGATGAATTATTTCATTTAACAAAATATCACATCCATCACACTATTTAAACAAAGAACCATAACATAAATTCCAAAAAGATCACGAAGTAAAATATTTGAAATGAATGGTTATTAGTAAGAGAGAGTTTTTTATAACTTTGTATCATTTTAATATAGTTTTTACTTTTCAATTATTCTCAAAAACCCCCCATCTAACATTTATGCGATAAACATTACATATAATAAATATTTCACATAAAAAACATATATATAAAGAAAGGCAAAATATAGCTAACACATAATCTCTTTAATTGAAAGTCTTCAACGGTGTGTTTGGTCTAAACTATTTGGGCTACTCATTTCATGTAACGATTAAATTTTAATAAAAGGGTAAAATCCTGAAGACATTTGAAAATTGATTTCTATAACATTGTTTTCGATAAAATTCACAAATTAATTAAAAATTAACTTTTATTTTATATTTCAAATATGTGGTGATAGTAATCATTTCAATTTGTCTTTTATGTTTGATTTATTATTATTATTATTTTATTTTATTTACCGTTTTGTGATGTGGCGTATTTGTGATGTATATCTAAATTTAGTATAATATATATTTCAAGTATTATCTAGATATATAATGCAATGGAAACAATGTAATGAATTTGAAAGAATATATTTTAAATACCTCTATTAATATCAATGAATCAAAAAAAAAAAAAATTGAATTTAAATGAATTACAATATTGATGAATTTTAAATCTATTCATTTTAAATCACCTCTCAAAGCCAAATTCTCCCCATAGAACCTAATGTAGTTTGATGAATGCATCATACCTTGGATTTGAGCATATACGAGATGTCGTAGAAAGCTTGATACACGTCAGACTTTGTTCTAGTTTTGTAGAAAAGTTTAGCAGCAATACCTGGGTAAAAGGAAAAACACCAGAACAAATATAGAACATAAATATTACCTTTTTTGTTGTCGGATTGAAGAACCCAAAATGAGCAAGCTGGACAAGTACAAGATTTCTGGAAGCTTGCCTAGATTTTTTATATTCTATTTTTTATTTTTTATGAACTCTTATTAGTGTGGGCAGATTGCAAGCCCTAGGATATAGTTTCAGTATATTTAATCATAGTTGCTTGATTTATTTTGATTTCTTTCGTTGTCAACAGTGAAATACTTAGCTTGGCAGCGCTCTAAAAAACTACCAAAATTTGTGGTTCTTCTGCTTTCTTTTTTTTTTTTTTAAGTTTTCTTGGTGATATTTTCATAACGTAGAAAGGACTAAGTTGATGCAGGTTGTTTAATAAGTTAAGCGAAAAGTCTTGCACATGAAAAAAAGAAGCTCATTAATAAGAAGATTCATTGTCTTTACTTACCACCCCTCAAATTGATGCCAGTACCGTTAAATACTTGAATGTTATTGTAGCACAAGGCTAATGTCCTAAATATGATCACCTGCAAATATATATAATGAAAAAGAGTCATTGTAAGATGGTGTGAGAACAAACATATCGAAAACAGAATTAAAGATTATATATGGGTCCTTCCAATCCGAACCAGTTGGTGGTAATTTCCTTAAGTAGTACTGTCAAGAAAATTCATTTATAGATTACCTGTACTATGGCGTAAAATTGAATATATGCAGGATCTCGCAGACTAGAGATTTGATTTAGGGAGCTCTCCACATGCACTAAGGCATTTGTGACCATCTCGTTCAGGCAAAAAAGCGCCTTCGCAGAATTTCTTTCCTCCTTTAAGTCCTGATTAATTCATATGTCAAGAGCAAAAGAAACATAAAAAAAAAAATTAAAAAAAAAATAGATGATGGAACTCAACAAGAGTTTGTATTATATAATTCTTTCCCTCAAAATATCCCAAATACCTCGAGCTTGTCGACATATTTACTCCATATTTGACGGGGCCAGAACATGCGAGCAGTTGGCATCGCATTAATATCATCAAGATAGTCCGTGATGATGTCTAATTTCTGCAATGTTTGAAATTAGAAATAATTAATGGGTTAATTGGGGAAAAATTGCAAATTTAACAATATTATCTATATATGGTCAATTATCACTTGATCCCATATATATATATATATTCAGATTTCGTTATGTACCTTAATATATATATATATATATATTTATCATCTGGCCTCTAAAAAGACAAAAAAATTGGTGGAAGGAATATATTGCAAGGTACACAACCAATACACAATTAATGTATTCAATTGTGTTTTGGTTACTACTTTGAAATTTTTTATTTATTTTTTATTTTTTAGTCCTCCGGCCTCTAAAATCGTATATATATGTGTATATATATATATATATATATAAAACCAATGCCAATTGATGTATACAGTTGTGTTTGGTCATGTACTTTACAACATTAAGAATCACTTTTTTTTTTTTGTCCTCCGACCTCCGAAATCACACATAAAATAAATGGTTCGAAGGGCAAATGAAGGGATTTTTTGCAAGATATAGAACCAATACACAATAGGTGAAATATGTATGCCAAAAGTATGTAATAATTGACAATTAGTGCATGCATGACTAAATTTTCCGTTTTGGTCTTAACTGATGATGCAATGTGACTTAGCTGCTAATAATGGAATGAACAATAGGTACCTGACCAAGTACACCCATGGCCTCGGAGATGTCATCCGAAACAAGTTCTTCTTTTCCAGAAACATGCAATACTTTCGCCATTCCGATTCCAACAAGCCCAGCCACGTAGTAACAATATTCATCGTATTCATCTAGCGTGTCGATCTTGAAAAATACAACATATATCATTTTCGTAGCTCTACATCATATAATGTTAATTAATTTGTTGTATTTATACCTTCTTGCAGATAAACTTTGCCATTCCTTCACCCATTCTCTTCGCAATCTCCTCGATTATTTCCTGATAACTGCCAACGAGTAGTACTTACCTTATTCTTCAAGCTAATTCTCAAAAATAAAAATAAAAAGCAAATTTTCAAAATAAAAAGCGGTCATTATTGAGACAGGCTCCCTTACTTTGATATTATTACCATTGATGAAACTTCTATGGTGCAAACTAGATCTACATGTTCAATGAAACTTCTATGGTGCAAACTAGATCTACATGTTTCTTATTTTTTATGTCTCACATCTCATATTTTGTTCCTTTTTTAAAAAAGGATTAAACATTGTATTCATATTTTAAGTTTTTAATTTATCATTTATAATTATTTGTATTATACTCTCTCTTCCCCGTAACAATGAACACATTTTTTATTTTCATCTGTGAACACTTTTTTTTATTTTGAATAAAAATTATTAAATCAAAATCATACTTAACAAATATAAATCAACATATAACATCATAAATCATGTAAACTCACTCAAAACTCATTTATTTCTATATTTCTCCTAAAAAAAAAATATTTCTATGTATATTGAAAACTCCACCTCTTTATAAAATTAGTTTATGTTAGTTATAAATAAATAAAAATATTTTTTTTACTCGTATTATAGAAAAATTTATTCTATATAAAATGATATCCATAGTGTATATAATTTTTATTATGATATAATTTTCTAAAAATATTTAAATACATCTTCTAATTTTTTTAATCATATATATTAAATTTATTTTAAAATAATAAATATTATTAATTACATAATAATAAAAAATAATATTATAACTCATTATTATTAACTAATTAAACATCATATTCTTAAATACTATGTTACTAATGAAAGCGGTCAATTATCTTGGGACAGATGAAGTATTATAATTACTTTTCACTAATATATATTTTTGTTTTTAATTTACTAATCATATCCCATCTAAGTTTCTATATCTACCATGTATATGTACATGACATGAGACATGGGACGGAGAGAGCATAATTTAGAATTACTGGAACTTAATGTAGATATTGATCATATAAACAAGCTTAATTTACATAGAATTTTTTTTTAAATTAAGGCACTATTCATTCATTAATAGTAATTTATTCAAAAAAATATCTTAACAAATACTCATTTCTAATTTAAATAACTGTATTAAAAACTAATTTTCTATAGAGAACATTACATTCAATATATTTTTTTATATATATATCTCATCAAAGGCTTAACTTTTTCCTATTCCACGTGTTGGGATTGACCAACTCAACATCAGTATGATATTGTCCATTTTGGGTTTTGCCACACGGATTTGTTTTTGGTTTTTTCCAAAAGGCCTCATGCTAGCGGAGTTTAGACTTGCCCAAACGGTTCAAACCGCCGATTACCTTTTATTAGAATATCAAACTGAAACCGAACTGTTCGAATAACGGTTTCGATTATGATTTGACGGTTTCGATTACGGTTTATAAATCGACAGTTACGGTTACCGCCGGTTTATATATATTCATTTTTAATATTTTTCTTTATATTTTTTTATTTTTCTATATTTAAATTTTATTTAAAAATAATAAAATTTGATTCTAATTTTATTTAGATATAGTATTTATTATGTAAAAATAGTATATATAAATAATTAATTAGATTATTACAATATAAAAATAATTAAAATAAGGGTACGTTTGAGAATTAACTATTAGCTGATTCAATTAGCGATTTGTATTAAAATATTTGGTAAAATAATTGTTTGACATTAGCTGTTTATACATAAGATGATTATTACAAACATTGATATATATTTTTTTTAAATATTTAATTTTGTTCATTTTGGTTTGAAGTTTATGAGAATTTTTGTTATTAATTATTGAAAATTATAAAAATATTATAAAATTTTTATTTTTATTTTTATTATTTAGATTTGATAAAATTATTTTCACTAAAAATTAATAATTTTTTTATTAAAATTATGTAAAATATAAAATAACAAATCTTTCGTATATATTTTTTTATTATGTTAATTATGTTTTAATATATATAAATAAATTAATAACCTTTGTTTTTTCTATCTGATTTAGTTTTAAAAATTTATATATTTTACAAATAAAATAAATTATATGTAATAATTAATAATTATTATTATTTTAAATTTTCAAAAATAAAAATATAATTAAATATATTAAATATATTAAAAATAATTAGTAAATACTGCTATAAAAATATATTTATATGTATAAAATAAATAAGTTTTAAGGGTAAATAAGAAATAACCAAAATTAAAATGAAAAAGCTCTTTCAAAACGTTGGGTAGATGAGCTTTTCAGAAATTCTTTTTGGATCCAAAAAGCTCTTTCAAAACGCTAATTTACCAAACACCTAAATTAGCTTTTTGACATATCAAACAGCTAAAAGCTGTTCGATAAGCTAAAAGCTCTTCAAAAAGCTCTTTCCCAAGCACCATTTTATACTTTTTTACCCTACTCAATATTTACACATCCAACAGACACCGCCGCTGCAGCCACACCAAATCAATCACCGGCTTCTTTTATCTCTTCTTTTTCTATTTCCTCTTTCCTCTTCCCTTTTCTTTTTTCCTCCTTCCTCCTCATCTTCTTCTACGCTATGCTCTGCTGCGCCTGCCACGCAAGTTTGAATTTTTTTTTTTTTAAAAGCCAAACCGCTAGTTCAAACCGTAAACCGGCGGTTCACAGTTCGGGAAAATCACAAACCAAAACCGAACCATAATAATGACGGTTTCGGTTCGGTTTGTACACGGTTTCGGTTTGAACCGTAACCGCCGGTTTGGCGCCAAACCGGCGGTTCGAACCGTCGGTTCGAAACCGAATGGGCAAGTCTAGTGGAGTTGATTTGGGACTTATAAGGTGTGGAATTTTATTCACAACTTTCAATGTGGGACTTGAATTTGCACCCCAACAATCCTCCCATCAAACCAAAGACCAACCTATGGGCCTCGCCTGCGCACCTTGTACCGCCTATCACAAATGGACCCGTTGTCTGACCTAACGCCAGGAGACTTACGACACAATGCGGCTCTGCAGGTCACGAGGGTGAGTCCACCACCACAATCAATGTCCGATGCCTCTCAGTCCATCGTACCAACGAATCAGGCTCTGATACCACTGTTGGGATTGCACCAACTCAACACTAGTATGATATTATCCGTTTTGGGCTTAGCCCGCACGGATTTATTTTTGGACTTCTTCCAAAAGGCCTCATAATAGTGAAGTTCATTTGGGACTTATAAGGTGTAGAATTTTCTTCACATCTTCCAATGTAGGACTTGGGTTTGCACCCCAACAATCGTCCCCTCAAACCAAGGACCAACAGATGGGCCTTCCGTGCCCAACTTGTGCCGCCTTTCACAAAGGGACCCGTTGTCTGACCCAATGCCAGGAGACTTTCGACACAATGCGGCTCTGCAGGACATGAGGGCAAGTCCACCACCACAACCAATGTCTGATGCCTCCCAGTCCACCCTACCGACAAACCAGGCTCTGATACCACTGTTAGGACTGAGCCAACTCAATACTAGTATGATATTATCCACTTTAGACTTAGCCCGCACGGATTTGTTTTTGGACTTCTTCAAAAAAGCCTCGGGTTTGCACGCCAACACCAGAAACTCTTCAAAACTCTTAAACTTCCAATTCACTCATCTAAACGGAGAATCAATCAATTTAAATAAACGTTGGTTTTGCTGACAATAATTACTAGATAATGTAACTGTTGTATCCGAAAATTTGAATATTCTTAATCTCGCGACGGCTTGATGAACCATTCGGAGAATGGATAAGGTTTCTGTAGGACACTCTAGAAAGCCCTAGGTGAATTTTCGTGTCTGCAAAAAAAAAAAACAAAAAACAAAAAACAAAAAAACAAAAAAAAAACTAGCAAGAAATCCTCCGATTAAATTTTAAAAAAAAAAAACTGTAAAATGAAATTGCATTTAAAGTGGAAATGAAGGTTGAAAATATATTTGGAATGAAAATCAAGTTGGAAAAAATGAAATAAACTTACAAAAAAAACAATGGACAATGAAAGTAAAGTATGGGAAAATAAAGATTAAAAAAATCAGATAAGATAAATTGTAAATTAGTTGTGTTGGTCGGGAACCATTTCTTCATCCTCGATCATCTCTTTTTACAGTCTCACGTGGAATTGAAATTCTACTTTATTGATTGGATATAACTCCCTTAATCAAACCATGGTAACTCTCATGTCTCCTGTAATAATCAACTCCTTAAGCTGCCCATATCATTTAGTGACCACTAAAACTACCATAATCTTTGAATAAACCCATCACTTGATTCAACTCATTAAATAACTTCTTTTGAAATGATGATAACTCTTCCAGCCCAAATCTTTAATTGCTAGACTTTAATTATATTAGAGTAACTTTCAGGTTGTTTTAAACATTAAACCACACTTTTTTTATGATCATCAAGATTTTCGCAGTTATTACTCCTTTCAATCAATTTTTTCGCAAGGCTGCAAATTTTTTGCAGCAGATCCTCTTCCACTAGACTTAATCGACTTGGGACTTACTCCCTAATCTTGGGTTACTGCTTCCTTCATTACTTGGGTCTCCTCGGATTCGGTCCAGCCTAATCATTTGAGTTTTCCACCAATAATTACTTTTGGGCTCAACATATTGTCCCTGTAGAAAAATGAGATAAAAAATTAATTCTTAACTTTATCACACTTTATAATATGATGCAACAAACTCTTCCTCCGCTGCTTTGTTCGAGATGGGGAAATTATCACTCTAAGCAATATCCCTTCACTTACTTCCCATGTTCTTACTCAAAACCTCCTCATTTTTTTAAAAAATCATCAACCCTAAGATCATTTGAAATTTCATTTTTTTATATTTCTTCACCTTCACCTTCACTTTTAATCCCCATGATTGTCCATCGCTTCTAGTAAATCACCATCCTCTAGCAGAAATTCTCCACCCAGCAATTCAACTCCTCGTCTAATGATTTTTCTGCAGTCTATTTGTTGCCCTCTTCTAGTT